TTATATTATATTATATTATATTATATTATATTATATTATATTATATTGGCATACACACACGTGTGCCAAAAGAAGTATGTGTAAACCACCCAGGATATAGCCAATTGGGCTAGTCATGCTTACTGGGAGTTTGTATAGAAGAGTTTGCTGTGGATTGTGATGCTATCTGTGTGTGTGTGTGTGTGTGTGTGTGTGTGTGTGTATGTATGTATACAGAGTGTAGGGATTATATTTCACATACGTTTTATCTTAACGGAACCTACAATTAGATATTTCCCAAAGCAATCTCCAAACATCTAATCCTGGAATTCCTTAAAACCAATACATATTAAGTAGTAACAGATAGATGCATCTTACGTTTTCAACAATCCTCCCCCTCCAAATCCAATGGTGTATATTTTTAAGTCAGGACTTGGAAGATGGAAGCAAAAACAAAAAATGGTCAGGAATTCAAGGCTGCCTTTGCCTATATAGCAAGTTTGTAGTTAGCCTGGGCCATATAAGATCCTGTCTCAAAAGACCAAATAAATGGGTGAATAAGTAAATAACTAAGTCCAAGAAGGACACTCCAACAGTCAGTCTGTCCTGAAAGTTGTGCCAAGGCGTGGCATAGAGGTAGGGGTTAAGCAGTCAAGGGTCTGAGAGCTGACTCATGGCTTTATCTCTGGCACTCAGAGGGCTTCCTGGGAAGATTGATGAAGCCCACAGGGGAAAAAATCATCAGGAGGGTAGTGTGGTAGGAGCTGGCTTGTTTGTGGGTGGGAACAATGACAGCCCAGTGATTTGGGGACCAAGGGCAATAGAGCGTCTGGGCCAGAGGGTGATGATTTTGTTCTGAAATGCCTTACTCTAAAACACTCCCTAGGAAAATGGCGACTGTATGGTAAACACATCAATAAATTAATTAGAAATATAAATTAAATTCATGTAAGATGAAAATATATCCCCTGCACAGTATGGCTTGAATGTTTGGATATCATCAAATGTTTGGATATCGCCAAAACACATATGGGAACAGTAAGAAAATGTGTTATTACAAGGTTTTGTTTTGTTTTTGTTTTTCTAAGACCAAAAGGTTACTTTTGTAAAGAAAAAGGGGAGCTTATAAGGGAAACTGGAACTGGGGAGTTTGGAGAGATTTTTCCATTCACCCAAATCCATTCATTCACATGCCCACCTGGAGCTGAGGCTTCATCGCATCCCACCTTCTCCGCAGATCTGACATGCTCTGGAGGCTGCCGCCCAGGTCAAGCGCAGAGACGGGCGTAAGAACCTCGTGGACAAGTTTGACGCCGTGAGTGGTCTGGGACAGATGTTGGCAGTTACGAATGTGTGTCTGGCAATTCAGCACACGCGGTCACCTCAGTGGTGACGTGTGTGTGCACTTTTCAACCCCTGCCGACACCGACCCACACCGGTGAGGTCACACGAGCCCTTTGATTACCGGCGATTTTTGCGCCATTTTTAGATCACGGTAACATCTAACAGAACGCAGTTTTCACCATTTCCAAGGGTGCAATAAAGTGGCATCAAGGCACGTGTCAGTGTGCAGCTGTCGCCAGCATTACCCACAGACTGCTTTCATCAGCCCAAACAGGACCTCTGACCCTGTCCAACAGTCCCCCCCTGTCCCTTCTTGCATCCTCAGGAAGCACCCGCTCTAATCTTTGTATGAATTCGGCTATAGGGTTGCAAATAAGCAGAACCACATGATTTCTGTGCTTCGTGTTTGTCTCATTTCACTTCCCCCATGGTTTTTAGGCTCTGTTATGTTGCACGGATCAGAATTTATTCTTCAGAAGGTGACATTCAACGTTCCTTTTTGTTTGTTTGTTCCGGTGCTAGCGCCCAAGCCCAGTGCTTTATGTATGCTCCGTAAGCGCTCTGCCCCTGAGCCACGGCCCAGCCCATTTCCTTACCTTCTTAAGTTTCTCTTTGAAGGTTTCCCACCGCTGTGTCACAGGCTTGCCTTCGCTGGCTTTGAGGTACCATGACATTCGGAGATGGCTGAGTTCTTCCCTTCCAGATGCTTGCTGTTCCATAATGTTCTCCGTAATGTGCATTTCATTTTGAACATTTAATATCTCATCCTCTTTTGCCTGTTGAATTAATAATCCATGTAATAGCTTTTCTTTCCTAGGAGATACATTTTTCTTTTTTCTTCAGCTCTTTTAGGTGGCAAGTACCTCATCACACCAAAGCAGGAGACAGACAAGCCTGAGCTCATGTTCAGAGGCACAGTCAAGTGCATAGACATATATTCTCTGCTGTGTGGGCAGCAGGGGAGAGCATTTAAAGGCTTCCGCAGGACTTTAATGATTGAAGGGGGTGAGTATAATAACTAAAGGATATATTCTGTAATTGTGATTATTAAATTTAATAAATTATTAAAGAAATTAGGCAACAGTGGGAATAACCCTACACTATACTTTACATATGTTATAATTGAACTTGTTATAGCTTTTATATATTATTAAGAGATTATTAAAGCATAAAATATTGCTTACTGTAATATAAGCTGGGAATTATATTTTATCAGTGACAACTAGAGTCATAAGAGTACAGTGGCCTAAGAAAGGTCTAGAACAGACATGCTATCATAAGACCTGTTGGTGGTTAGCCAGCAGGACACAGAAGTGATTTGGTATTTGGCAGAGGTAGTATTTTGTCCGTTCCAGAAGATCAATAATTTGCCTTTAGTCTTGTTAGTGACACAGCCCTCATTTTACCTTAGCGTAGTATATGGAAACTTTTGTGGTAATGAAGTCTAAATAAGCTGTTAAATTATCCATTCATTTTACATTTGTATTCATGAACCATGGACTGTTCTCTGATCTCGCTCTTTTCTGAGTCCTTGGTAGCAAGGAGGCCAATGCTTGACAGAATTCTCAGTATTTGCCACTGTAAATTAATAAGCTGGCACATTCATCTGCCAGAATTCTGGCCAAAGTCAATTAATCTGATTCACGGGAACTTTAGATAGAAAAAAAAAAATCAATTTCAAGCTTGAAAATACCAGTCTCAGAAACACACTCAACAAAAAGAACCAGCTTCCATCTCCCAGCCAAGCCCCCACCATACTTCAACAATACACTCTTACAAGACTAATGCTCTATGGATAGGAAGAAGAAAAACATCCTTATCAGCAGTTTTTCCTATCAGAATATCAATAAATTAGTAGAGTTAATTATTCTGTAAACTTAATATTTTAGCAACAAAGAGCTTATCACTTGACCACTGAAAAGACTTCAAAGCAAGATGATGATGTGAAAATACAAGTCTATCATCAAGTAGTGGGTAGATACGGGCTATTTTCAGAATAGCCTCTATGAATAGTCTTTATGAGTTGGGACTTCCTTACAGCCTGCTAATTTAGACACAGATAGAAGAAATGAGTTTGGGTCCATTTCTTTCTACCACCCCTCCCAATCTGAAGATAACAGTATCTGATTTTTTTCTATTTGATACTTAATACTTGATAAGGACTCACCAATCTGGATAAAAGATGGGACTGCAGATCAAAAGGCAATAGGAAAACCCATAAAACAGAAACATCTCTAGATGCTTCTGGAGGTAACAGGGACACCCTGGATTAATATAGTCCAAGGAAATATGGGAAAGATACAGTGGATGTGGAAAAACAAAACAAAACCAACAAGCACATTAAAAATTTAAACCACCTGGCATTTCCAGAATTGAAAAAAATGTCTAAAATTCAGCAATAAAAAGGCTACACACAAAAACAATTTGCAAATAATTTAATTCCCTTGTAATAAAAATGCCTAAACTAGAGATGAAAGGAAATACACTAAAGCCAAAAAAATATGTAAAAGGTAAAAGATAGACTCATTTATTCAAATGTTGCAAATAAAAATAACTTTGCCTTTGTATAATAAATCAGTTGTATAATATAGAAACGTGGATGAATTGCACAACATGATTTTTTTCTGGTGCTTAATGGTGATGTTATCTAATTTATAACTGCTTAATGAGTGTTTTGGTTCTACACAAACTCATTACTACTGTTCTTCAAATAACAAAAGTCAAAACGAAGACAAAAAGGATAACCGAAAATCAAATAGATGAAAGTGTTAGAACCTGAATCTGATAAATGATTTCTGTTTCCATGTTTGTATCCCAGTTCTCAAGAAAATGGTAACTGTCAGTCATCTTTAAACATTTACAGAAAGAAGCTTCTAGAATATTAGAGAAAGGAATGGGACCCGATTCTCAAATGGGGGACATTCAGTACACAGATTGATAAGTTTCACATGGACAGTCAGTGTGCCCAGATCTGTGCTTACAGATCATTTGAATATTTGAGAAGAATGTCCCAGACACAGGGAGTCAGAAGGAGTTGTGGCAAACCATAGGTAACAGGTCAGGGCTTTATAGGGTACAATGTATACTTTAGCATGCACACAGCGCTGATTAGATTAAAACATATTGAAAGCATTAACTGTTGCTTTGTCTTTTTTTTTTAAACTGTTAATCAATAGATTAATTCACGAACTAGAATGTCAAGCCTATGGAAGCTAGGCTTGATAAATCTACAGAATAAAACCCAAGAGAAATAGTTAATAAAGTAGATAGATCCAAATTAGTTTAACAAGATGAATCATCATAGTCTAAGGTCAAATGAAGTAAGGCAATAACTATAGGCCCACATCTTCTGAAAAAGCTAAATAGCTGATATCAAGAGTCCCGACTAGACTGAATCTAGGATTTAAAAAGGTCATGTGAGTGTTAATAAGAGAACAGCAAAGAGAGCTCGTTGCTTAAAGAGTTAGCACCCTCATGTCTCAACTGTAAGAAAAACATGTCTGGTTGACTGTAGCTCAGCTTCTGCTTGTATTCATGAATGGGCTTAGCAAGCAGAAATTTTGGCAAAGCAGGTCAGCCTGAATAAAGAACTTAAACTACATCATAAATTGTAAATTTGCATATGTATAGCTGAAGAAAAGATTCCTATTAAACATAGAAACTGCTCTCAATGTTGGAAAGAATTCCATATGTAAGAGAAATCACCTATGGATGGTTTTATGCCTGCACAGCTACCAAGGTACAGTATGAGATATGAAGACAAACTTATTTAACATTTTAAAAACATTCTTGTTGGGCTGGAGAGATGGCGCAGAGGTTAAGAGCACTGTCTGCTCTTCCAGAGGTCCTGAGTTCAATTCCCAGCAACTACATGGAGGCTCACAACCACCTATAATGAGATCTGGTGCCCTCTTCTGGTGTGTAGGCACACATGCAGGCAGAACACTGCATATGTAATAAATAAATAAATAAATAAATAAATAAATAAATAAATAAATAAATAATTTTTAAAAGACAGTCTTGTTTTTTAACAGGTAGCATTTTTTTTTTTTCTGACCAGAAAATGAGCTGTTTCGATGGGAAGATTCACAAGGTTTCTGAGGGAGAAGTGAACTAACAGTGTTTTAAGAATTCTATAGGCAACTTCCAATCACTGAGTGATAGACATAAAGGTCCTAGGATAATTTGTTTATTTAACTCAGGGAAACCAAGGCTTAGGAAGCAACTCTAAATGCTGTGGAGCTTTGCTCTGCAAGAACTGAGAGAAGAGGAAGTGCCAAGGGAGAGACAACAGAACATGTGCAATATGCAGAGCAAGGCAGTCCTGGGGGTGGAGAGACTGAAGCAGGGATGGATCTGGGGGGGGGGTAAGAAGAGAGAGTTGCAGGCAGTGTTAAGCAAAACAAGCATGGATAAAATCAATCTCTGGAAGCCAATTAAAATATATATGTATATTCTAAAAGATCAGTTAAGCTGAAAAGAAATTCTTCAGAACAAAGATTTGTCACGATCATTGTCTTTGGGTCCCTAGAATATTTTGTAAGGATCTTTCTGTCAACATAACTCAAAACTCTGGCTTCGACTGAGGACTCTATAATCATAATCAAATAGCATTTGAATCAGAATAGCAAAGATGGCTCTCTTGAGATACAAGGGCTCTGTAACCATAAGGCTCATAGATGTTGCCCTTCAACGCCAGCCTAGTTCGAGTGGAGCAGCGCTCTGCCGCTGCTGCTGACTAATGGGCAAGTTGAACTTTCGAATGCATGACTTTGACTTTGAGGAGTATCTACAAAGGGTGTTGGCTCAGTTAATGTTATTCTCACCATGTTTATTAAGTTAAGGAACTCAAGCCCTAAGTCTTGGGTCAAAAAACTCTTCTTTAAAAACAGCTGCCACCTCCTCTCAGTGGAGTTAGAACGGCACTTGGCTGCGGCCTCCTCTTCATCCTTCTGGGGGATTTCGGTCAGATAAAACTTCCTTAGGCTCTGAAGCTGCTCTTCTACCTAAAACAGGAGGAAGCGGATGAGAGTTAACAAATATTTTAAATAAAAAAAACAGATTTCACGTGAAGCCTGTATAGAATTAAACTGCAACTATGTTTTTCAGCATTCTTTAAGTAATTATTGAGTATTATCAAGTTTCTAAAAACCATGAAAATCTGCTTAAATAGCTGAAAGACAGGAATTCCACCGAGTATCAAAGCTTATTGCCAATCAGAAAGCTTTGTTTTACTCCAGATTATTTTTACATATGTTTTACAACTAGAATAACTTGCTTCAGAGATCAGGTGGCTGCTCTGTTTGAAACTGAGTTTTATAATTTAAAAAAAAGCACAGATAAAAATCAAGGAATACAAATCAGAAAAAAAGTAAGTCAGCAAAAACCAGTTAGTACTTAATTTATTACAATATTATGATCATTTGTTATTTTAATGTCATATTTAATTAATTCTCTGAAATGTTAAAACAGTGTGTTTTGATAATATTCACCACCCACTTCTCCATCTTTCCAAGCTCCATCCCTACCTCTCCACTCCTTCCCAACTTCTTTTCCTCTTCTTTTGTAACTATAACCTCCTGAGTTCAATTTGTGCTGCACGTATACGCTCAAGGGCATGGGACCCTCCCCTGGGATGTGGTCAGCCTGCCAGAGGCCACCCCCTTAAAGAAAACTGGCTCAGAGTTTAAGAACAATGGCTCCTCTTCCAGAGGACGCAGGGTCAATTGCCAGCACTCAGGTGGCAGGTGGCTCACAACCCTCTGTAACTCCAGTTCTAGGGGACCCGACACCCTCTTCTGATCTCCACAAATACCAGGCATACATAGATGGGGTGCACAGGCACACACGCAGGTAAATCATCCATATCCATATACAATACAGTAACTACAACATGATACAATAATAAATAACAAGAAAACTGACTGTCCCCAACGCCAGTGGCTGTCAACTATCAATAGCTCCTCAGCTAGAGCCCTTCTCAACCCTCCATGCCACAGCATTGACAGGCTGGATTTTGTGCAGATAACCACAGCTCCTGGGATGTCATGAGTGCAGTGGTCCTGGCATGTCCAGAGGACACTCCTCTGGACTCCTCAAGGACCCCTGGCTCTTACAGTCTCTCTTCACTCTGTGCCATGGTGGGGTTGGTGAAGTCCATACCCATTTGTGGCTGAGTATCCTACTGTACAATTTATTTTTAATCATGGTGAGCCATAATGAAAGGGTACAAATAATGACAAATTTTCTGGGTAAGCATCAATATTAAATACCTTCACAAGCTAATCTTATTAAGTCATACTACTTTGCCTCCCTAGAACTACGTTTGAGCATTTGTTAACCAATGTTAGCAGTACTCAATTATTTCAAATTACTCTCTTGAGCAGAGTTAATATACAATCAAATGTGTAACTATAGGTTAACAAGTAATGGGGTGATATAGAATTAGTAGAAAGCATTTTGAATAATATTTAATGACTAATAAGATAAGACTCATGAAACTCATAAGTTAGCAAAAGCCATGGAAACACAGTCTGACATTTCAAGCAATAGTCAGTGTACTTTGAAGGGTTTAGTTGAAATGAACTTAAGACAGCCTGCACTAGCTCTTGGGGCCAGAACTTCCTTCTTGATTTCCGTATTCTATTTACTATGTTGATGCCTGTTTCCTAGGCTCAAGCCATCTTTTTCTTAATTTTTTCTTCTATTTATCCCTAGTGAACCATATGAAAGGATGCCCTTTCCATGAAGGAGTCTCAGATCCCTTACTAAGAATTGTTTATGTCCTTAGAGACCAAGTTACTTTTGTGAGAAAAACGCCAATAAGCAAACTGTTAGAACAAAGATAGGTCTGTATACACACAAGCAAACAACATTATAGGAGGAAGGCAACAGCAGCTCTACATGGAGTAAGTACAGAAAATCTTCCCTGTAATGGAAGTCTGGGTTTCTTTAAAATCTCAGTTATATTATGTAAACATGTTTTTGTTTTAATCCCAACTGTGGGATTTTATTTTGCCCTTTGGTTTGTGCACAGCTGATAATTGCCTCATGCAGAGGCCTGGTCTTTGCCAACTAGAGTTAGTTGAAATCTGAGGACTCTGGGAGGTATAGATATGAAAGCCCAGAGAGAGAAGGGACGGTGGCTTGGAGAAGGCAGAGGAGGGCTGCTTTGCTGCTTTTGCTGGTTTGTAGGTTACCTGGGCTGCTGGATACCCTGACAACTGAGGTGTGTATTGCCCCCAAAAGAACCTGACGACCCTAACCCAGCCAGAAGAAGTAAAGAGAACTATGTTCTCCCCCTTTCCCTTCTATCCTTCTTTCTCTCCTACCTAGGTCTGGGGAGTTGGAAGGGAAATAGAGATTTTAAGGAACCCCCAAATAAAGTAGAGTTTAAAAAGAGCATCTACACTTCTCAGTACGTGACATTTGGTCTGGCTCTTTCTAGGGTGAGAGATAGAAAAGGAAGTCTTGGATGGAAGGAACTGGTGTGAAAGCCCAACCGTGGAAGCACTGGCTTCAGCAGGGAGAATGCATGCTGTCCGCATAAATGAAGTTCAGATTGTTCAGCTGCCTGAGAGAAGGAGTCCAGAAAGAAAATTGTACTGAGATAAGGCTGGGCAGGAAGCTTCACCTTGCCTTCCACTCTAGCCTACAGAATCATGACACATCCTCTTTAGTTTGGTATAGCCCATAGTGACCAAGTGATAAGGGCTTGGACTAGGGAAACACTTGGACAAATTGGAAGAAAGAGTTATGCAGAAATATCTGATGTTTTATGAATAGACCCATGAAAGTGTAGCCTTTGAAACAGGAAAGGCGAGGGAGAGGAAGCTGGGATTTTTACCAGCTGCCTGACAATGCAACTTCTCCAAGCCTCAGTTTCCCTCACATATGAAATGATAAGACATAGAAACATCAGTTCACAATGAAATTAGGACTTAGAAGCATGAGGCCTGACACAAAGTGAGTGATCATTGGAGGACGGATAAGCAGAGAGACTGAATGCAGGACTGAAATGTTTAATAAGGCTTTTTACAAAAAGTTGGGAACACATTCAATCTGGCATGCTTTAATGGTTACAATTCAACAAATACACTAAACATCACTATATTAAAATGTAGTAAATTTTATGTTAAATAAAGTATTCTTCAATAAATTTCAAAAACACCAAAGGAGATGGACTATGAGGAATGAGATCCAGCTCAGTTTTTCATAGTAGGCATCTCCTAAGAGATGCTTAATGCCAAGAAAAGATGACACATGGCAAGGCTCTCAAGGGAGTGAATTGAACTGCAGGGGGATGAAGTCTATGAAGCAGGTAGAGGAATTTCATCTTCTTCCCATTCCAAGGGTTCACAATGAAAGGGAGGAAAATGATAGAGGGTAGATTGATGAGAACAAGACTCTAACTATAGACTAAGCACAGAAGGAACAATAGGAAAGGCAGATTTGAGATCAAGATTTTAAAGGAGGTAGACAGGGAAGTACACAGCGAGAGACTATTACTGATCAGGGCTAGGCATGACCATATCACTTTGCTGGAGCTGTGGGGGAGGTGAGTGAACATGCTGGTAACTTGAGAAGTAGAAGGAAGTAGAGACAGCGAGCCTTGATGGTCTCGTTTCCCACAGTATATGAAGTCCAAAGACATCAGCTGAGATTTGGGGGTGGAAACTGGGATAGGGTACCTGAGAATCACCAAGGAATATAGGCCAACTAGGGAGCATAGGGGGGGTCCAGCAGAGGTAGAGACTCATAAATTAGTAAAACCCCAATCATCATAATTATCCCTTTTGTGTCTGGAGGAATGTCTGGGAGCTTTGACAAAGAAGCCGAGCAGAGTGTTGGACTGACCGAGTGTTAGGAGTTGGCGGGGTTCATTTGGAGTAGAGGGCAGGGCATCGGTTCAGAGGATGGGAATGAGTAAGCAAGAGCTGATGAGGAAAAAGAAAACAAAGGAAGAGCAGAGGTGTAAGGGGTGACAGAAGAGAGCAGTGCCAGGATTGGGACGGAATGACTGAAAGTGGGAAAACTGAAGGACATGCAGTGTTTTAGGAAGTATTGTTTATACCAGCTAAGGCTCCATTTCTACAGACAATCTTGGCCCCAAATGCCAGCATGGGAGATGGAAGGAGCTACTTAATCTGATACCAGATAGGTACCATTTTGGCCATGATGGTGCCGAGACCAAGCATTGTTTTGTAGCTGCTCTAACATCAAGGCTTCAGATTGGGTTAGGGTGGTGCTCTGTTTATGATGCTGTTAGGAAGAGAGGGTCAGGGTATCAGGAAGGTAGAGGAGAAAACAGAAGGCAAGCATGCTACCTAACCTTAGGTAGCTGAGAGGACCTTGCTCAATTAACACAGTGCCTGTAACCCTTCACAGAAGAGTTACCTGCATTCAGACACGGCTCCCTGGAACCAGAATTAAGCGAGGAGCAGCTCCACCTCAGGAAGCTTCCCTCTGAGAGGCGCAATCTTAGTGCACTTGAAGGGATAGTAGAGATTACTTGAAGCATGTCAGAGCTTCAGAAGATGCTTGGGGCAACGGTAAAGACATCCAGGTATCATTCATTCAAAAATGAGCCAATCACTTCTCTCTTCCTGTTCTGCCCATTTTAAATGCACCGTATATACCTTGCTGCTGGAGAGATGGCTCATCAGTCAAGAGCATATACTGCTCTTACAGAGGATGTGAGGCTGGTGTCCATCACGCACACCGGGAATCTCGCAATCTCCCGTAACCCCAGGTCCAAGGAATTTGACACCCTCCTCTTACCTCCGCGGGCACCGCACTCACATGCACACACACCCCACTCTCACACACATAATTAATAACAATAATAAATATTTTTAACAAAAGAACCACATCACTCCACTATTGGAATTCAAAGGGATCCATGGCCTAAGTGATGAATATTTTAATAATAATTTTGTTTATTTAAGATATTATAATGTCTATAGAGATGTATAAAACATGTTTTAATTAATTGTTTATATATTATTATGCAATAATTATAATTATTATAATATATTATATATTAATATTAGTCTAGGTAAACTACTTACTCCTTGAGGTTTTCCGTGGTTATTTGAAGAATAGAAGGCATATAAGCAAATACAGGCACTGGTAGAGACACAAACTCTCTACTTGGGTGGAATTTCTATACCCACAGAAAGATGGACAGAGGCCATCTTGCTGAAGCAGGTCAATGCTACGTGACATTACAGCCTTACCTCCTCGGATGACTTTCGAAATGCCACGTAAGCTTGCAGGACTTGTGACCTGTAGCTGATGCTTCGATCAAGCGTGTTTAATTCTTCTTCTAGCCATTTCACTTTAAGAGAAAGCAACGCCACCTCATTGAGTTCAAGTTCATTTTTCTCTGTCACAATTTTTGCAGCTGCTTCTAATGCATGTGATGTCTCCTATGAAAGCAAAGCACAAGAGGTCAGGAGCTGACAGGGGAATCGTGAACATTCACATTCCATTACCCTTCGGCACATCCATCTCTTACGCTTATTAATTGAACTTGTACTGAGAACTTCCTCAATCAGAAAGAAGTATAACTTTCAGAATTCCAAAAAGGAAGGGAAAAAAAAAAGGCACTTGAAACTGCTTCCTTGGCTCTGTCCAAAGCTGAAGGCCTTTCTGGTGCTTAAGGTAGAAGCTTAGAGCATTAATACCCAGTGGCCACTTTACAGTCCTGAGCTGGCTTGTGCTGGGACTCTTGGCTCCTCAGCCCCTGGCAGAGCTGTTGACCAATTCTAGCTAGTCTGGCTTACACTGCTTGGACTCTCAGCTCCAGCTTTTAGCACCACCCTGCCTCTCGGCTTCTTGGGAGTTTTTGCTTTTCTTAGATACCCTAGGAGTCTGCCATGGTTTTGCTGTGTAGCCCTTAGCTGACTTATTATACTTTGGGCTCAGGTATCAGGCCCTCAGCTCCTGGTCAAATGCTAGAACTCAACTATGCCACTTCGTTTCTGCTGCTGCTGCTGCTGCCACTGCCTATGTCATGAGTGCTGGAAGCCTGGGGGTCTTACCTGCTCATTATACAACTAGTCCAGCCTGCTTAGACTTTATCCTATCAGTGAGAGCCTGGCTATGTGGACTTTCCTGTTCCATCAATCACATGCTTTATTTAAGGACCAGTCGGAAGCCTCCTGTGGGTCCAGTCTCACAAGATTGCTCTCAGACCTTAGTGAGAACTGCTGTTTCTAGACTCAGAGCCCCGGAGGTAGGGCACAATGGCTCAGAGTGGGTAAACAGTCTCTGGGTGGGGCCGTTTGGAGGGTCTGGCTTAGGTGAGACCTTTCGGTAATGGTATAGGCTGGAGCAGTGCTGTCTAGAGCAGTGGTTCTCGGCCTTTCTAACACTGTGACCTTTTCACACAGTTCCTCATGTTGTGGTGACCTCCCCCCACTATAAAATTATTTGCATTGCTTCCTTATGACTGTGATTTTCTTGCTGTTACAAATCATAATGTAAAATCTGATATGCAGGATTTCTGCTATGGTGCTATGGGACCCTGTGATGGTTTGAGTGGGTTTTGCCCCACAGACTCACGTGTTTGAATGCTTGGCCCAGAGGGAGTGGCACTATTAGAAGGTGTGGCCTCGTTGGAGGAAGTGTGTCACTATGGAGGTTGGGCTTTGGGGTAAAATATTCAAGCTACACCCAAAGAGAGACACACAGATAGACTCCTCCTGGCTGCCTTCAGATCGAGATGCTCTCAGCTTCTCCAGCCCCATGTCTGCCTGCACACTGCTGCGCTTCCCGCCATGATGGTAATGGACTAAACCTCTACAACTGCAAGCCAGCCCCAATGAAAGGTCTGCCTTTATAAGAGTTGCCTTGGTCGTGATACTCTTCACAGCCATAAAACCCTAACGAAGACAAGAGTCCCAAGGGGTTGTGAGCCGAAAGTTGAGGGCCACTGAGAGCCAGTGCCCAGAAGCAGAAATCTGTGGCCTCAGGCACAGTCCTGATTGCCATGCTCCTTGCAGCTGGGCCGAGTTTCTTCAAGGCATTCATGAAATTCCCAAAGCTGCCAAGATTCCATAATGACAGTTTAGCCAGTGGCCAGATAGAGGGCGGTGTAGGCAACAGCCCCATTCAGCCTAACAGGACACAGAAAGAGTCTGACATCTGTAAAACAAAGGCTCAAACTGGCCCGACCCCAGGTAGGTGAGGTAATTTGAGGGGAAAGTAAACATAAAAAAGGTGTTTACAAGGAAGACCTGTCACAGCATTAGCAATCTTAACAGTATTTAGCAGTGCTTAACGCCTAACTAATCGCCCTGAGGGAAAGCTGGTCTCTGATCCCTCTCAATATGTTGCCGGCATGTCTGTGCTGATGGTGAATAAGGGAACTTCTCACTGCCAGTCACACGAAAGGGCAGCACATGTAACTATACGCAGTACACAACACTTGCTAACTGGCTGCATTACTGGATCGTACATTTGCTACACTTTGTTCTCATTGTTGGAGTGTTCTTCTCCACTCACGAAAAGTACAAGGGAGAGTGTCTCACAAGAGAACGTCCGCTTGTGCTGGCAGCGGCCTCATACACGGTGTCTACATTTCTTGTGGCATCAAGGAGCCATGTCTAGCAACTGCCTGTGCCTGGGAAAGTGCACACTGTGATGTTCACACAACAATAGCCAAATTAGGTAACAGCACGTTTCTCGGGATGTATCCTCATCATTAAGTGATACATGACTAAAAGCCACGGAAAGAGCCCTGTTAAATTTCCTGTGAACAAGCGAGGAATCAAGTAGAATTAGAGAGGCATTTTGTCCTCTCATTTGCAGCACAAGGGACACACACCATCCCTCGTTGTATTTAATATGCTTTCCAGGAACCCCACTGGCTGCACTGAATTGCAATTTGCCAGCCCTGCTCTATAACAGCACACCGCAGACTAAAAGAGGAACACGGGATTTCTCCCCCTGAGTTCTCCATCGTGCTTCTAAAATCTAAAAGGAAGAATGCCTTTAGACGTGGCTTAAGCATTTACAATGGAGATTTTTCTAAAACCTGTTCTAAAAAGAAGGAAAGGAAAATGAGAATGCTTGTCTTCGGTGAGGGCGCTGTTTTGAGGGGGGGGGTCTTCTGTGGAAACCAGGAGAAGCCAGGGGCGGGGCGGGGGGAGGCTTTTCTTGCTGATGCAGGTGGGTGTGAGGATGATACTCGCTTTTCAAAATCCTATGGGGCAGGCAGGCACTCACTGTAGAGTGGAAGCCACTAGCCCAGTGTTCTCACCCTGCGGGTCACGAATCTCAGCTATTTACATAATGATTCATAACAGCAAAATTACAGTTGTGGAGAAGCAATGAAATGATTTTATGGCTGGGGGTCACCACAACAGGAGGAGCTGCGTTGAAGGGTCGCAGCCCTAGGAAGGTGGAGGAGCGCTGCTCTCGCGGGAATCGCTGAACCCAAGCAGCAAGGGCAGGGTAAGACAGAGCCACAGCTAGGGGAGGGGCGCTCCATGTCTGAATATGGAGGGAAAGGCAAGGCTGTTCTGACTCGCCTCCTCTCCTCGGCGATTACAGTGATGTGTGTTGTCTCTGCGACTCCTGTGGGACCTTATTCTTGGTTCTCAGGCGAGGACCAAGCACAGGCTAAGTACCTGAAACCATGGTTACAATGAGTATAAACGTGCTAATAAATAGACACAAAAATACAATACTTTAGATGCACATAGTACTGTGTAGGGTTTTTATGCCATTATTTGTTCTGTATTGACTTGGTACAACATCTCCCAAAGGAGCTGGGGTTAAGCTCCATAATGTTGAAACCGTTTTTAAATAATTATTTACAACATCATCGTCTTGGAAGTAGTCTTCCTTTTTACCTTGGCTCGGATATCTAATTCCAGATATTTGTTCAAAATCTTCTCTGATTCAGATGGGCTCGAACCGACATCCAATGCATTGGCAAGAACTGACGTGATTTCCCGAATTGATATTTCCACCTTGAGGAATAGAGAATGCATAGCCTTAAATATTAAAGGGTTTCGTATTTTGATAATGCCCTTGTTCATATGATGCCATGCTAGTAGCCTGTGAGTACATCCTTATATGAACAGCAGCGGCTATAAGCTGTCATCCATACACGCCCTTGAAGAGCTTCTCCATATTGCCTACAAAGGATAATGTTGGCAGAGATGAACTCATCTGTACGTTGCATGAGAGCAATTTGCTGGCACACAGGTAGAGGTGTCGGAGGATCCTGAGGTCGGTTGCATTTAAGACTGAGGAGCTCTGAGAGACATCTTGTCCAGATGACGGCCAAAGCAGGGGCCTACTTGAATCATTTCGCTGCTGTGCTGAGGGGATCGGGACTTGAGCTTTGGCTCACGAGAACCAATGGCTAAGGTGGCCCTGGAAGGGCTTCACCCTGCCCTTCATCTTGCGTTCTGTCGAATGCGCACTCTCCATGGCTAAGCTGGCAATACGATTAATTGTTCAAATTCCTGCTGTGTTTTCCACTGTCGCCAAATTAGCCTCCCAGGCTGTAGGGAATGCTACAGCACAGCCGCCTCTGTTCTCAGACTGTCCCTGGACCCAGGCAACAGGACACAGCTCACAGTCCCAAACTGCTGGGTCAACAGGAGATGAGGAGGTGATTCAACAAAGATGTTCTTTAAGGCCAGGTTCTATGAAGTCTGTCAACTCCACTCCTATACGATCCACTGTATCAAATAACAAGAGCCCTGAACACTTGAGAACCAGGGTCTGCAGCAAGGCTCATGGCCACTGTGCCTTCAGTGGACGGGAGATAAAATGCTTCCATACACACAAAGCTATCACATCACTCTACAGGAAAGATCTTCCCATGAATGCTTTCATGTGGGTGACTGTGTCTCGTGCACTGCTTTTGTTTAATAAGCATGATAATGGCAGATTATTTTCCCTCCAGAAACACTAAACCCAAGTAACTATTTGTCTGTCTGAAGTCCTTCTGTTTGGTTGTGTCATGTAATGACAACTACTATACGACTGCATAGTTATGCAAACCTAAGGTCCTCCCTTTGACCGCATGCCTGATGTGGTTAACGCGGAACAGTGGAGTATATATAACTTCATATATATATATGGCATTTTAACATTAGACATTTATTACTGGCCACCTGGGACAGGGGTTATTGATGAAGAACTGTTTGTCCAATCATAGGACCAGAGGTGTAATATAGAGGAAGTCCAAGGAGGCACACTCTATCCTTCCTCGCCATTCACGAACGCCAAATAAAAAATGTACATGCTATTTTGTGAAACTACCTTCCTCAGGTAGCCTTCCACTGATGCTGCTAATTGCTGTTTCTTAAGGGCAAATTCCTTGTGCGCTGTACACTGTTCGCTGAGGTGATCCACTCGTCTCTGAATGCATCCCATCATCTCATGGATACCCGTCACCTGAGAGCTGGATGGAACAAGCCAGATGTTAGTTCACTCGACCTTGATATAGAAGCCCTGACAGGAGAGGACATTTGAAAACAGATATGCCCTTTCACGTGAGTATGACCTGGTACAAGCTATAAGCTGCTGCTTTAATAGCAGAAGGCAAGCAGTGATCATACCGGTTGAGCAGGCTGCAAAGCCAGAGTATGCTTCTCTGTTTTAACTCAGTCGATCCTGAGGGAAAAAGAATGGTGGCTTCTGCGGCAGGCCCAATCTTCTTTTCTAAAGGTTTACTTTTTAATATTTCTCTAAGATACTCCGAGACTCTTATGGTGAAAGGCACAGTATGTTTACCGAGTTTTCCTGGGGGTATCATTTAAAAGCTTCATTTATTTCAAGATGCTCTTTGAATAGGAATGTGAATCGGCCAATTAACAAAGCGTTTGCTAACCCAATAGGGTAAAATATTTATCCATTTTGTTCTCAGTGGTTATGACTGCTCAAGGCTATATTCACTAGATAAAAACCTAGTGATCACTAGCAATTAGGTATCAAATATGCTTGTCCATATTTGATGCCTCACATTATCATTTTTCCACCCTGAGTTGTTGACCTCATGAGACAAAGGTGACATAAATGGTGTAACTTTCAGGTCAGCTTTGAGTTGGACTCCAGTTGTTCCCATCTGCAGAAACTGAGCCACTGAGTGGACACCTAGCCATTCCCAAGATTTCACAGTACAAGAAATGAAAGAACACTATGGACAGGATGAACACTTTCCAAATGTTCAGCCTATGCCTAACATAAGACCTTGTCTACCATTTTAGAAATCCAAGTCTTTCATTTCCCTCTACCCATTTTCCTTCAAATACTAACAAAGGTTAGCATGATAACTCTTTAATTCTCCTTGGAATTTTTTGCTTTCTTTCTTTTTTTTTTTTTTTTAAGATCTCGGAGCTAGGTACAGATTTTTGGAATTGTGGCCTCAAATGATTAATTTGTGAGTCATTACAAATAAATTAAATTGGTAATGAAATGAGGACAAGATCAGAAATGACCTAGGGGTACAGTAATGTCACTCAAATGTCTGTAAGGATGCTTTCAAAGTAAGGCACTCTTGGAGGTGTCTTGTAGGAACATCAAAGGTCCCAGACAAGCACAGTTGTGAAATATGCTATAAAGCCACTATGAGGGAATATTGTTTCTGGTATATAATGCTCCAGGCATACTTAGAACAATTAGTTTTATATCTTAGTACTCATCGTCAGGGAAGAAAATAATAAAAATACCAGGGGAATTTTAGAAATAAATCTCACTGATAGAAACCCACACACTTTGTAAAAGCTCCATCCCTGCAATATGAGTTATTTTGACTAAGCTCTAGGTTAAGGTGTGATGTACCAAAAGGGTCTTTAAACGACAGTTGTGGTATGAGCCATATGTTCCAAGTTTTCTATAGATTAGTGAAATCTAAAATGATAAAGATAAAGTGACAATGTGGCACTATGGAAAAGGTACAGAGGAAAGGGTAATGGAAGGGACAGGTAGACATGGAAAGAGGAAAGATGGTGGGAAGTGGCAGAAAATGGACGGCAATTTGCGAGCTATTGGCAAAATTTATAAAAGCAATGTAGAATTTGAAAAAAGAGCTGTGCCAACCAAGATGAAGGATATTCACTTCTACTTCCGGGTCACCACGAAGCTCCTTACCCCCAACCCCAGCATCACCCTGCACCCATTACAGTTAGATATTTGTTACTACTCACTCTTAGGATAGAGGTCTCTGTGAAGGTAACTGGAAAACAACTACAATTTTTGAAAAGGCTACTCCCTGGGGGACAGCAGTTGTCAGTAAATAAGTTAAGCAAAGAAAAATACTATTCACACTATTCTTTGGTTCCCAGCCAGCTTTAAGAGAGAGAGAGTCAATGTTGATTCCACACAATTCTCTTTCTCTCTCTCTCTCTCTCTCAGTTGTATGGAGTCAACATTCAGTGTCTTCCTAAATTGCTCTTCATCTTATTTTAATTTTTTTTTTCATAACTTGCCAGTCACAGAATGGCAGAAGCAAGATTTGAACCTGGATATCTCATCTTATAGTCAATTCTTTTTTCTTTCTTTTTCTTGCACTTTTTCTGAGTGTGGAACATTTGACATAGGACATAGTGAAGTATTTCCCCCATCCCCTGGATTTCTTTTATTGACTGCTGCTGACTTGCATACAAACAGATTGACCTGGTTGACATGCTGTTTTGAAATTAGTCGCTTACTCTAGTTAAATGCTATGTCTTCATGTACTCTGAAAAGTGACCACTAGAGGGACATAATACCTTATTCAAACTGTGTATCTTGAAGGTCCCTCCAGCACAAAGAAGACAAAATAAGAAAACAAAACCAAAATCAATCATTTCTTCAGTAAAAATAGCGCCTTTTGCAAAACCATAATTTTAATTTTGATGAATCAAAACCAAATAAAATAGGATCTGTTCATTTCTGATTTTTTTTCAATCGCTTAGGGGATTCATTTTTTTTTCTTATCAGGTACTGTATCTACTGTACTATAAATTCCTTAAGGGTAAGGCTGGTACCTTACTTATTTACTCCTCCCTTAACTGGGAGGGTAATACATATTTTTTAAATTATTTATACTTTATTCACTTTGTATCCCCCCATAAGCCCCTCCCTCCTCACCTCCGGATCCCACCTTCCCTCTCCCTTCTTCACACATGCCCCTCCCCAAGTCCACTGATAGGGAAGGTCTTCCTCCCCTTCCTTCTGATCTTAGTCTATCAGATCTCATCAGGAATGGCTTCATTGTCATCTTCTGTGGCCTGGTAAGGCTGCTCCCCCCTCAGGGGGAGGTGATCAAAGAGCAAGCCAATCAGATTATGTCAGAGGCATTCCCTGTCCCCATTACTATGGAACCCACTTGGACACTGAACTGCCATGGGCTACATCTGTGCAGGGGTTCTAAGCTATCTCCATGCCTGGTACTTGGTTTTAAAAAGTCCAAGACAGAGTCCCAACTCTCTGAGCCTGAAACTATCTACTTTCTCTGCAGCCTGGGGACCTTGAACTCTTGGTCCCTCCGTCTCTATCTCCTTCCTTAGTGTTGAGATTAGGGGCACATCATGCCATGGTAACATGATGATAACATAGTGGTAACGTGATGCCGGGATCAAACTCAGGGTTTTGTACAGTCCAGGCAAGTGCTCTACCCACTGGTCTGCAGCTCTAAACCAAGTAATGGCATGTTAAAGCTCAATAAAATATGGTCTGATCAATGTTTAAAGAATTTAAGGGGTAAAAAAAATACATACGTGGAGTAGCCATATTAAGCATATCAAGATATGCCCACTGGTATAATAGTGAAATGGCTATAACGTTAGTAACCAACCACCTTCTGATTGGGAATGTGATAGGCTCTTGCCAAACAGACATGCCGTCAACTGAATTCTGAACACTTACATGCTTACATTCATACTTGTGGATCAGTGCTGCTCTCGGCCTCCCTCAGAGAGTCTTCCCTTGGCCATAGGCACAAGTTTGTGGAAAGACTCATCCATGGTTCAAGTACAAAGACTAACTGACTGTGTCATGACTGACCCTAAATGGCTCAAAGAACAAAGATGGTGTAGAAGGATCGTAAGAGCAGGAGGATGGAGAGGGGTGCCGTGAGACAGCGTCTTTGCAGGACTGTTGCACTGATGAACTCCATGCAGCTGTGGTCACCTGCACAAAACCTACAGGAGGTTTGGCCATCACCATTTCCTCAGGCAAGGGATAGAGAGATTGCAAGGACTCACCTCTCACTGAATAGATGCAGAGTTCTGGGGGAGGTGTTATCATTTTGTTCGGTGAGATAGCCTAGTATGTGGCCCAAGTTCCGGTGGATAACTTGCTGTTAGTACGCATGCACACAGCCATAACTATATTCATTGGGTCACACACACACAAAACAAACAAACAAGCAAAACCAGAGGAGAAGAGGGGCTTGTAGGAAAAACAGGGTTTGAGTCAGGGAAGAAGAGAGATGAGAGAGGGTAACAATGGTAAAAATGACCAAAATTTGATATATAATGTATGAAATTGCACAAAAAAAATTTAAAGATAAAATAAGTTATCCTGAAATCAGAATTTCTTAAATGTCATAGTAATTGTATCCTATGGCTTGTGGATAAATGACTATACTTTATGCCACTTGCAGACCGCTGCTGACTTGCATACAAATAGATTGACCTGGTTGTCTAAGATGCCCGGTTTCTTCTTTGGTGTGTTAGGACTTACAGTTTAGTTCACGGAATTTAAACATAAATAGTTTGGTTCAATATCCTCTCCTCTCCTCTAATAAAGCTTTATGGGACACTCGGAGTCACCTTGCTCCAACGGGAACGATTGTCAGTTCTGTCCCACTTCTGTCTACAGCTCACTCCCTCCTTGGCTGGGGAAGCTGCCAACTGCCCTGCTTTCCCAAGCCAGCCCTTTCTCCTCTCTGTCCTCAACAGATCACCTTCCCTGACTGGATGCTAGTCTCTTCCATCTCTCATTCCCAGTAAGAATGTAATGGTAGCGTCTACCCCCTTCCTAATCCCAGGGCTACCCTGCTTTTAGGTTTCCTTAACAAGCCCTGATCTGAAGATTATAACCAGCCCAGCTGCCATCATTTTCATTTAGAACCTCCATGCTAATTCCAGTCTCTCATTTCCAATCCTTTCAAACATGGGTAGCACACACAGGAAAGGTTTTTTTTTTTTTTCCAGTGCCTTAATAGTAAATGGCTTGAACAAAGGATAAACTGTAATTCCCCAATTTGCTAGCCCTTCTCACATGAGCTGAAGAAAAGTGAAAAGAATTTTGTCATTCACAAGGAACAAGTGCTATGACATTACAGCCATATTCAACTAATAGTGGAGCGTGGGTTGATGGTGACTAAAAGAAATCTGATTGAAGGAAATCATGGTGCCCTGTTATTCTGTTCCCCCTGTAAAGCACACTGCCTTTGCACATCTGATGGGGAAGAGA